GTATAGAGGCAGACACTCACAGAACTTACCATAAACAGTGTCGCCGAGAAGGCGGAAGTTGGGCGGGAGAAGGTTATTCGCTCAAATTATGTATGCAGCTTCACAGGCCATTTACATTTTACTCACCACAACACAGCGCAACACAACACACCATGCCATGCTGATTGCATGAATTTCCACTTTTCATGGGGATAATTTGTCATTAAAGCCATAACTCATGACCGCTTTCGCTTCAGTATTGGTGTTCGTTGCACTCTGAATTGTGCACAACCTAGCAACCATTGCCAAGGGATCGTTGTTTGGGTGTTCTATAAGGCACCGACATCAGGAGAGTCGTGCATGGGAGAGGTCTGTGATACGTCCTCTCAGCATGAATGAGTGTTATGATGGCGAGGAAGAAAGGTAGAGGAGGAGGGAGTGGGTGAAGGGGAGGAGAGATAGAGTCAATGAGTGGCATTGCCTGAGGAAGACAGAGGAAGGAATGAGTAAAGGTGGGTGAGATGGATGAATGCAAGCGATGGAAGTAGCGATGCTTGACTAACTGACAAATGTAGAGCGTATCCACACGCGGTTTTATTTATGCTGAAAATACCAATTTTTGTCGCTGCGCAAAACCTCCACAGCAATTATTTCGAGGCAAAGCATCTTGTGAGAGTAGGATCAAATATAGAAGTGTTCCTATTGTAACACTTAGTTTGTTTAACTCTTCGTTTTGGTTTCGTGGGTATTGAAGACTCAGTTTTTGTACTTCCGCCTGGGGGCATAGCCCCAGTAGCCTCCACCCTAACTCTGCGTAGGCAAAACGCATTCCATCCAAGTATTGTGACCTCTTCACGAAGGACTCGGGGGTGCTATACCAATTTTACTCTTTCTTCACAGCTCCATTTTTAATCGCTCAAAGCAGCAAAAATTGCATTGCCTTAAGTGGTTAAAATGATTTTCAAAACAATGATGCCTTTTGCGTAGGCGTGGCACACAACGTCAATCTCACGATCACTCCGCATGTCAACAGATACAACTTGGAATTTTTTAACCGTCTACTGAGGATGGCATAAAAGGAAAATACCAGCAGGCCTCCTCACCTTCTTCACATCACAAGAACTCTTTATTATCCATCAATAAATTTGATTCTGCCCTGCTGTGATACACTAGCACCGCAGTCGGTACCGTCTTCCACTATTTTTGGGTGGAGGCACTGAAAATTTCGTAAATTTCTACTTACAGTGTAGGGCATTGGATGCAGCGCATAGGTGGATACCATTAAGTAACATCAATGTATCCTCCATTACTCTATTTGACATCACTTCTCGCTTGATAAGAGTCGCATAAGTGATCGCTTCAGCCACTATTTCCTCATTGTCACACGTTATATTGGAGTCTTCTAAGTGGACCCTCCGATCGACTTACAGGCCAATTACAATTAAAGTATTTTTAGAACCACCAATCCCGAGAGTTGGCATTAAAACAAGTGACAATGCTAGTGCACTTGAGCTGAGTATCAACCCAAATCTCGGAAGAAGCTAACTGCCAGATATTTCGGAAAGCGGACAAGGTTCATGGCGAGAGTGAACGACAAACTGGCTACTGTGAGTAGCTCAAATCGAGTAAAGTAAACCATAAAAATGTTACCTACTTACCTTGGGGTTGGCGGTAATAAAAATACTCTAACTGTTTGTTTAAGTCTTCCTTTTGGTCTCGCGGGCACTTAAAGCTCTGCCTTTACGTTTTCACTGAGCTTCATGGCCTCAGACACATGCTGGTAGCCCCCAGCTATTCTATATACCGCCACTACATACTCTGCCCAAGTATTGTGCCTTCTTCCGTCTTTAGTGAAGTCGCAGGGCACTGCATTGTTGGCTGTGGAAAGCGAAATGCTAAAGGTCAGCCATCTCCACGAGGCTAATTTAAGCCCCGTTCCCTATTACATGGCTATGCTTCTAGGCCAGTTAGTTTACTGATCGGTCGAGTGAAATTATGTCAAAGTGGCGTCAAATGGGACAAATGAAGTTGACCCATCTCATGTCACCTACCCCAATTGTCAGAATGTCAGGTCAGTAGTTGTGTTTATTTGGAGGCTTTTCCTTCCTTAAATTAGTGTGCCTACTTCTCCTTGCAGTGCAAGGCGGCAGTGCCTGCTGTTCTCAGGTTTGGCATCTGCTCGTTCACGCCATGCACATTGTTTCAAGCCGAGTGACTTTAAAAGGATATCAGAAATGTGAGAAGATTGCTTGCTTTATTAACAAAAAGCAAAATCCGAATAATGTGAGTTGAGGCATTATGTTAAATTAAATTAGCACGAGATTCAGTGCAAGAACACATTTAGCTGCTTTGCTTCATTTCTTAGATGTGCTGTGGTATTGTGGTGATATTACTGACGTAGCCCCACCCACTCCATCCAATTCGGTGATATGACAAGTGCTTTAAAGATGCGTTAACAATCGTGGAGGTAGACTGGGTTAAACGCATTTCTAGCCTATTCCTTATTTCTCAGTAAATGTAACCTACAGCCCACTCATTTAACTTCAACGTCATGGAACCGTATCCGGTTAATCAAACTAAAGTGAGTTTGAGCATCACCTCTTCTAGCACCAATAAAACCTAAGTAAAACTTTGTAGTTAGTATTTTGCAAGTGGAATCGCGGGTCTTTACAACTTCAACAGGGACTGAATGACATCCACCTTATTTAAGGTCATTTTAACAACTGCTTGTCGCTGAAATGCAAATTTAAGACTAGTAAACACAAGAGATATTTACCTTATGCCAATTCTACTTTAAGCAAACGCCTGTAGCGTGAAGGTAGAAATAAAGGTTATTAAGAAGTTTAAGCACTCCTCCACCTTTGGGGAACCTCTAGCTTGGTCAGATTGTTCAGCGTAAGCACTTCCTTTGTCTCAACGCGAATTATTTCTCGAAATGCACCAAAAGGCAGCACTGAAGAAGGATTGCTGCGTATGTATACTTGAAGGCAGAATTCGCATACACAAACTTCACTAAGGGCTTTTTCAAATCAACTTCATGTAGCTCACAGGCACACGATGCCAAAGTAAATTAATCCTACTGTGCAGTCGTAGGCGCCTAGTACGTGGTGCTTACTTGCAACCTTAACTGATCTGACTTTCTACTCCTCGTGAGAATGCGGCACATATGGTAGCCAAGACCAGGATTTTGTGGGTAACATCAGCATTTGCGGAGGAACTGTAATTCATAACTGACTTTCTGCATCTCTCCTCTACTATCCCTTGCCTATAAACAAAGAAGGCGTGAGAAAATCCAGCGTTTGTGGTATCAATCAAACCAAAACCAAGGATTATTCTTTGAGTAGAATGAACTGCGTTGTTTAGCTGAACCGATTGATATTCGGCCTTTTTGAAGGAATTAGACGGCATTTCTCGGCAAATAGCCATGCATGGAATAAACGGAAAATCATACGCTACCGTACTGTAGCCCAAACGCTTCCATACTTGAGATCATCACTGACGTGCAGATGCTTGACTGCATTTGAAAGGCTCACATCCTTCAAATGTGATGGCTACCTGTCCACCGCTGCAGCTGACATTGTCTCCTTTGAAACCTTCACATGGCCCGCTGAATGGTGACTTCAGATTTTACCTACCACATCCCAGTCCATTGTTGCTTGCGAATTTGATAAATGATGTCTGGGCTAACCCACGACATGCGTGTCAGTCATCAGTAATGGGAAACCCTTGCCTTCACTGCTACCTGTTAAAAGCCCCAGTTTAAGTTGGACGTTTCTTTTATGCTCTTAGTCTCCTGCAACTTGATTCAACTGGAATTACTTGTAGCACTCAAGTCCTCCCTGAAAGCACCATTCAGTTTTTAGCACTACTTTTCATGTAGTCTGTTCACCTTAAAACAGTGGATAACATGACCTTGGTACAACATCAGCGACTTATTTTCGTTCCTGTCATGTGTATGTGTGTGTGACCACGGTTGCAACGAAAATGACGCTCAAACCACTCAGGAAGATGGCGCCCGTTTAGCCTCAATTTGCTGATTTACAAGGTATACTGGTCTAGGGTTTGCGCACCATCGACATACTGAAGGGTAGAATGAGAGTTAGCATGTCACACGAATAGAACATCTTGACACCGGTAAGGCAACCGAATGGTAAAAAACGAGGAATCCGCATGCTCATGCAGGTAAAAGAGCGAAATGCTCTACTCTGAAAGTAGAGTCGGATTTTGAATAAGTAAGGCTTGTTCGAAGTTCCCTTAACTTGATCTTGTTTCGAATTAACTTCTCCTCAATAGGTAAGTTATAGAAAAGGGAGTACGAGTTTCATGATTCTGATCTCCAATTCGTCTCTATCGTCCCCATTGGAAACAGCAGTTAGATTGGATCCAAGCAACTGATTGTAACCTTGATGCTAGTCAACGATAACAGCTTAATGCCATTTTTTGAGTACTAAGGGAAAGATGCAATGGGCCATGCCAACATTGGTCGCCAAGCTGTTGTTACGTGGACGCTGCTGCTGATGCTGGTGATTAAAATGATAATGAGGCCTAATCCCTTAAGAACCCAGCCAAGAAAACCACAAGATTTGGTTTTATAGTAAAGCAGAAAGAAGAGTTTTTTAATTGTTCATAAAATATACCCATGCTTATAAAATTAAACAAAAGCCTCCATGGTCACACACATTGTGGATTTTTGCGGCACCTATGCTCATATTGAAGAAGGCAAAACAAATAACATCTCCCGGAATGGAGGAAAATTCATGCCCCTTGAACTACCCACTAAGGGTGGTGGTTGAAAAGCGCAAGGCTGTTACAAACCAAGGTGATAACTTAATCCCACCAATGGGGTGGCCTAGTCAACGCCACAACCAATCGCATGTCAGCTAGCAGGTAGCTCGTCAGTGCATGTACATAAGCGCCATGTGATTGGTGCTAGGGGGTGACCTCTGCGTGCTGCCATTGCGCAGTGCAAAGCTGCGTATTCCAAAACTTCCCAGAAGTCCTGCTAGTCATTGCAACATTGGATGCGGCGACAAGTGGTTTGCTTCGGTCGGGCCGTCGGGCTGCTTTTGAAGCTGGCCCTCCTGGCTCTGGTGGTGATCGATTTGGCACATTTAACCTACGAGCACCGCCTAAAAGCCTACGTCTTCGCCTACCTTTCGTCGAAATTTACTTCTCCCAGTGTTGCCGGTAGTCCGCATGTCTGCGAAAGCAATAGCTGGTGGTTTACTCCCAATAGGACGGGGCCAAAGCCATGGCAACGCATTTTGAAAGAGGAGGAGGAATTTCCCCTGGCCTATACTATAATGGCGTTCGAAAGACCTGACCAAGTAAGTAATTGGCAATGTACGTTTAAGTATCTCTCATGCATGTGCCTAGTTAAAATCATGCCGTTAGCTTTGGTACCGTCCATTTGCATTAATGCTGTACTTTCAGCAACTGGAATTGAAAAATTGCAACCTTTTGGGATTATGAATTAAATATAATCATATTTTACGAATGGAATTTGGTGTATATGGTTTCTCCATGCCATTTCGAAAGAAGTCGATGAGTCCATGATGCGCTTTTCTTTCAGTAGACTTCCCCCCTTTCAATTGGTTCACTAGGTTTTCGTAAACTGTCGGTGGTTATGTAAGCAACCCCTTCTCTAGCTCTGATTGGCGGGTAGTAGGCGGTACAACTTTTAGAATTTAAAGGCGAAACTGACGCAAAAACATGCATTTTTAACTGCCTTTACAATTTTTTGAACGTGACGTTTTGAAAATATGGTAGATAGTTGCCGTGGTCGCTCACGTAGAACCCTAATTATTTCTCACGAAGTTTACACCTGAAGGTATTTTTTAAAAAACGCGGGCGATGAGTGGGTGACGCTATCGATACCCCAGGGAATATCGCAGCCAGGCTGCTGAATCACACAAACAGAATGACTTACTTTTCGCGATTTTGGCTGTTTGGCAGCAGTGTGGAATGGCGAGTGTGTGATGTGTAAGGGGTGGCATTTAGCTGAAGTTTAAAGTCCGCCTTCCTCCTACCTGCTCTCGTTCACCACAGTTGAGTGTTTATTAACGGGGTGTAACTCCCACAAATGATCCAGCTGGAGACTCATTTACCTCTCATTAATTATGGATGAATAAAATCTAAATCATAGAATAATCTACGACCACTATTGATGTGCAGATCTCTAACAGTATCACAGTTTAGGTATGGCTTTTTTTGAGGTCTCTCACTCATCTGTGCCAGAAAATTAGCTAATCTGAAACGTCAACAAGCTTATGGCCTTTGAAGTTATTATTGGTGCTATCAGTCAGGAGGCCATAAGATGAGGATGCTGCCGCTGAACAAAGGCCACCGGCTATTCTATTGCGATATAAAATCTCGACTTCTTACACTTGCATTTCATTTGATGCTTGTGCTTATTTGTAGATTGGTTAGGTTAACGCTTTTTCAAAAAGGGGAAATACTTTCTCACATAATATTAAAGTTATGAGGAATGGATCTTCAAGCTTTAAAGTATAGTAGAAGTTTAAAGTCACTCCGTGATTGATAACGGAATCGTTTTAGTGGACTCCCTCGATTGATTAAAATACACTTTCTTTTAGCCCTATGACTTGTTCTTGAGTGCGCGGAATTTTGAATTATTCTACATTAAGATGCCCTGAAATCACGCGCACACTGAAATTGTGATTGCTGTGCGCTTTTGAGATCTTTGCACTCAATTTTACTACGTTCACTGACCACACTCCACAGTAATTTGTTCTAAAGTATGGCAAATCTTAACCGATTTAGTCTCGCAGCCTCCACGACATAGCTGTAGGGGCCCGAGGACTTCCCTGAAGACGAAAGGGGATGTGATACCGGAGTAGAATATGCATTGCCGAGGTGCAGAAGGGCTGGGGGCTACTGGCATGATCCGAAGGCAATGCCATCCATTAGAAGTACCGAAGCGGAAGTTTAAGTGTCCCGCGAAACCAAAATGAAGAGTTAAACAAGTAAATTCTCGTCCAATCCTATTCGAGATGGTAGCAGCGACCATGAGTGTATCTCCATGTGCTAATATTTTTAAACATTGAGATTCCTTATTCCGCTCCCAAATGAAGTATGACATGTTTGGTACAAAAGTCCTCCGTCGTTTTTTCCTGTGAGGGAGCATCCGCGACCTTTGAAGATGGTACTTGGCCAACAATACGCATAATTACTCTTACTGTCTTATTCTCGACAAAAGAAAACGCTATGTAATGAAAGAATCCCGTACAAAACCGGGTTTTTGCTCCTGACTTTGCTTCAGGCTTGTCCCATTCAATATCAGTGCATACATTTGTCTTAGTTTACCTGGATTCCGAGTCACATTGATCTCAACAAGTCCAAAGTCCAAGATCACACTGCATATTGAGTGAGCCGCTTCTCCTTCTAGGTCATTTGAATTATAAAAGAAAGGAAGTAAAGTATAGCTTTGACCTAGTTGGTTTGCAGAAGTAGAAGCGCTGAAGTCTTCCATAGGGGCATTACAAGGCGTTTTTGTAAGGACTTGTTGGACTGTACTTACGTGGTGGTCCGAATCACAGAGACCCTGGAAATCATGTGAATAAATATACGATTACAGCAAACATCATTTTGTCTTTCCCAATTTTTTTAACCAACCCGAGGTACAAAGTGAACAACGCTCTATCCTCATCTGCCTAATTAATTTCTTTTATGTTCTCGTTGAAACTGTGGAACAATTGTAGTATATAATGAAGACACGGCATCACACATTCCGACCCATCGGTTACTGTGCAACTCAACTGTTTGCCTAGAGGTCATGTATTGCTACACAAATAGGGTCACATCACCTTACCATGGTGACCCGGGGCTACGCTCACGCGAACGAGATGCGGCTATTGGATTCCCGGGTTGTCTTTCCGTTATAACAAGGCGTAGGATGTTCATAACTCTTCTTTTGGATTCTGGTAAAAACTTGCTCATAAAGTCAAAATGAGCCAAGAAGCACAATCAGTAGGCCATACCGGAAAATCATTTTTGGGAACATTAGACTATTATCACAGCCCATTAAAAGTGTGCCCACATCATCGGTTCGCACACTCGCCTACTGGTGGTTCACCAAATGCTGCTTTGGTCACAAACGAGCTCTTCAGGAGGGAGCTCTGACCTGAAGTGCATCTTCCGTGACCTTCTGACTCACCCCGTTTTCGCGTCAAAAACATTAACCTGACGGTTTTCATCACCTTAGGCGCCTATCTGTGCGTATGAGCGTGTTCACTCATGTCGAGAGCTGGATGCTATGGGAGACATTCACCAGGGCAAGAAATCAAATGACATTCTATCGCGAAAAGGAGGAAGTAAACAGACTGACATGTACGAATTTCAAATATATTGGTAGTTGACGCTTATATTGGGAGAGCTAGGTAAGTCAACTTTGATGAAAACACGATCATGAGAGAGTTCTGACCTCAATTCCAGCGTCTCGCTCGTTGCTGAAGGAGAGGCAGCCTTGCTGAAACAGCCAAAACCTCCTCTGAGTTTATTTGACCACTTAAAACATTCGTCTTTTATGAAGAGTTCCACTTGATTTTTACTTAAAGGGGATGCAAAATCGGAAACACTATGGAGATGGCGTAACTTTTCGTGGACACTGCTTCAGCCTCTTTTAGATTTCTCAATAGCTATGCGAGTGGCTTATGAAAATCAAATGCGTGAAATTAGTTTCTGTCCTACAATTAAAAGCTTTAAGTTGGGCTGTCAGTCAAGATTGATGGTATACGGATGTTTCCCATCAGGTTTGGCGACTCCTACGCTCAATTTACCGACCTCAAAACTACTATTGCATCCACTTCGACAAGAAGAGTCCTGAGCTCTACAAAAAGTGGTTGATTCGCAAGATCTCTGTATGCATCCCACCAGAGGTCTCGGCAAACATATTCTTCATATCCTCTATCTCCGTCTACCACTCCTATATGTCAGTGCTGGAGGCCGATCTGGCTTGCATGCGAGCTCTCTGGCAGCTGCCGAAGAAGAAGAAGCCCGAGTCTAAAGCACCACCATGGAAGTATCTCATCAATCTCACTGGACAGGAGTTCCCACTGAAGAATAACCTGGAGTTGACTCGAATTCTGAATGTTCTCAACAATGCTAACCTCATTCAACAGGAAAAGTGAGTTAAAATTCCTTGATTTACTGATTTAATGGATGAAAGACCACTTTAACTGAAGCTGAAGGAAATGAGTTCACGAAGCTGTCAGACAAAAGGCGAAGACCCTTCATTAGTACAAATGCTGTTGAAAGAGCTTTGCCCTAACAACCTCTGAATGAGCATTTCACTCACGATTCGTCAATTTGCAAAACCCACCGATGTTCGGACGATTGAGGCAATAAAATATTTAGGAAAGGCTCTTCGAAGGTGAATAGCGGAAGTTATTGCTAGAAAATGATAATAATGTGATAATTTGATAATTGTAAAAGGGGAGATCACGTGCCCCCCCCCTGACTATCAATTTTTTTCTAGTGTCTGTTTTTACACCTGCTCCGATGGTAGGCGTGTTACCATATTTTAGAAGGCAAAAGCAAGAATGATCTTATTTTCTCCCACTGAGATGCTTGTTTTAATTATCAAAATAGGTAGTGGAGTAGATTTTAATGACTCTTTCTTAGGACTCATGCAATCCATCAAATTAAACTTAAGAGTTATAAATAGGAACTTTGTTAAAAACAAGGAATGCACCAATGCAGCACCCCGGGACTTACCTGAAGGCAAGAGAAGACGTAATACTATGGTGGAATATGTGATGTCGGCATACATAAATACTGCTGGCATGTCCCGGAGACCATGCCCCCCAGCAGAAGTAAAAAGACGGTCCCTTAAGTCTTCGCAAAACTCAGTGAAGATTTGACCAAACAGACGAAATATGTTAGACACATTTCGAAGACAGTCGGCGATTTTTATTTTTAAGACCTCGGATAGATGAACTAGTGTCAATCGTTTTAACTGTTACAATAAGAAAGCTTACATATTGCGACTGTTAGTGCTTATAATGACAATAATTAAAGTTGTCCCCTGCAGTTTCTTGTCCCTAGGATGAAGTCCACCCTGTAACTTCGTGAAACAAAACCGGAAATAGTCTTCCGTGTCAGTAGAGTGCAAATTTAGGAAGTGGGGATTGTGCTGGTCTTTCGACCGGTCTTTTGTTTGGATTCGCCATCAGCAAATTGGCATCTTGTCCTCAATGTTGACCTTACGGCCAGTTTCCTGGCCACATCGAGGTCTCCCTTACAAAGCAGTAGGTGGATAGAACACCACATTGGATTAAGGCGAGAGTGAGAGGAGGGTTTAGCCCGATTCAAAATGTTTATTCTTTCCTAATGAGTTGATGACTTTTTTATGCAAAAACAAGGCCTGCACAACTTCGTGTAAAAGCGTCTGTCATCAGCAACTGCTGTGGTGAAATATATGAAAATTCTGCTCTTCTAGTCTAAAATCTCGCCATTGTAACTAGGCAAGCACAAAAATAGACGGAATAATGCAACCGATCTTATCATAGCTAGACGTATGAATAGTCATTTAATAAAATACTAGTTTAAATAGTTTTGCGGGGATGAGGTCTTGCCTCTGTTCCTTCTTGCTACTTGGTTCTCATTTCAGTGCTGCCCAGCCATGCCTACCTGGGTTCGCTTCATTGACATCTTCATGCAGGTATCATAGACAGCTCCATTACGAACTTTTTCGGATGTTTCACAGCCATGGCTACTGCCGCTTCAGCTGTTAACTACATTCTTGCAGAACACGGCACTGGGGTAGTTGCCAAATGTGAACATCAATTTCAACCCTTCTGTTAAGGGTGATTATGGATTCTTCCACCAGCAACACCTGCCCTTTTTCAACCACGTTAGGGCTTATCATCCAGGAATGTAGCTCCCCGAGATTTTCCTAAAGAAGAAAGAAGTCAAAATACTACTAGGGGAGGAAATGCATTGCCGAAGTACGGAGGGACTGGAGGCGTTACTGGTGTGTCCCGGCTGACATGCAGTCCAGCGGAAGACCAGAACCCGTGCACCTAAGTCTGAGCTAAAACAAAGCGATAAGTGAACAAAGTACATCACTACTACCGTGAGTAATCAGATGACCTGACGTCAGCTCTTTGTGTCTAGCATTCTAAATGCGTCACCAGTGGTAGGACAGAATATGCAAATTGTTGAAGTCTCCGCAACTCCCACCTTTCTATCCAAATTATTCATTTCATTCCTTGCAGTTGCAGATTACGGAGGTCACTGCTATCATTTGGATCTTATTCAGGAAATAAATCTACGCGAAAAATTGCGATTGATAATGTTTAAACTTGTATTATAAATTGATCAATTTGGCCAGAAATGCTGTTGATTTTTTTGGTTTTTCAAGAACATTGGTGATAGAAGGCTGTGAAACTTATCCATCAACACCTCAAAAACTGGTCTCTACTAGTGACATTTCTGGCAAAAAATGAACTGTCTGTGCTCTGATCTAGTTGTATCCCAGTCCCTACACGGATAGATGACCGGAATCGCATTATCGAGACGACAGACGAAAAGGACATGTGAACATCAGTTTATTAGCCATTAGTAGACCAAGCTCCATCAAGTGAGCAGTCTATTGAACAAATTCCCTTAAATACGCCCCTGGAATATGCTGTTTTATGCACTGGGTCTACAGCCAGCTGTCATCGTCGTCAGCCATCACCCAAATTTCCGCATGTGTCGACCCGACCCAACAGACTGACTGACTTGGGATGAGAAACTTTTTGTGCTTTTGTTTTGTATTTCAACGTTCGCCAAGCAGAAAGACATACAAGCAGTCATCTCCGGACGATCCTGTCGCACACTTCAAGTGCACGCATCACTCAATTTCCAGAGGTGTGTGCTTGCTCTATGTTTGGTTGCACTGAAAATGGACTTGAGGCTGAGGTCTGTCAACACGACCCAATACAACTCTAAAGGGAAATGTCTTCCAATGGATAAATCAGATAAAAGCTAAATTTTTACAAGTCCATACAGGACCCACTTGTGTAAAGGCACCCACTTTAGCTAGGGCTGGAGGTGGGAAAGTACAGCCTCATCATTATTCTGATCCTCGTATAACCCTATTACTGATCAATGCGGTTATCACCTTCTCCTGATTATGGATACGATCAAATGGATAGTTGGAAAATTAAAGAAGGATAGAAATGGGGTGACCACTTGTCTTTCTACACCGTTGTTTCATCAATTGGGTGGCAGAGAGGATCTTACTTCGTCAATGGCCTACTTTAGAAAGCATTATTTATTTCAAACCAGTTTACAAAGTACTATTTTAGGGTGGAGTGAAGTCAGTCCTAAAGCTGCATTCATCCTCCTCCGCTTTCTACACAGGTTCTTCTACGTGCGTCGAGCATGGCGTGACCCGCCGCACGGATTGCAGATGTACAAGGGTGCTGTACACGTGGTGGTGACGTGGGATTTCATCAACTTCCTCTTTACCGACCAACGGGTGAAGGACCTCCTCGACTACCTCCCTGAGGTCGGTATTCCCGACGAAGCCCTCTTCTCCACCGTCAACCACAACGCCATCCTTAATGCCCCCGGCAACTTCCCCTGTAAGTCATCTTTCCTTTTCTCCACAATTTGGTAAATTATTATTCATTTGATGACGTTGCAGATCATCACTATCACTCCTTTGGTTCCAACTTAGGGCTTATTTGTTATCCACTGCTAGAGTATTTTGCTACTGCCTCACCGCTGTTCGAAATGAAAGAGTCAATTGCCTTCTGCAAATGCTAATACTTTCATTTTGTGATTTGTAGCTTCATACAGTGGTAATGAGTATTTCACGGCTAATATGTTCGCAAATCTCTCCAGCTACAACTTCGCTTCGTCTTTATCTGCCGCAATCCCAACTCAAATTATCATAAAAAAGAACTAAGTAGGGTTTTACTACCACCATGGTTTCAACCCTCTCATATTACCAGTTCCTACAGCACGTAGCTGAAGGCGTAACAGCTCGTCATTTTCAACTGCTTTGGTCCCAGGTCAGATGTTGGGTGTGCCAGATTGATTCAAGCATATTTGGAGCACACTTATCCATCATTTCAACAATTTCTACTTTCATCTGATCTTCAGTCAATTTACCATCCACCCATAACATGTAGTTCTCTGGTGCCGAAAAGTACATTTGGTTAAGAGATGCCAGTAAAATCCACATGACTGGAGTACAACCACTTTATGCATAGTTAGGGGTAGGTGGGGTTTCTTCGGCTCCATAATTACCCACAGCATCGGTCAAAACTCAGGTGGGCTGTTTGTCACCGAGTCTTTGAACACTGGTGAGAGAGTGGCTCCAGGTGTTCTCTCTTTGAAATAGGTGATGGCTTGGAATGAATCCATGTTTAATATCTCCTTCAGCTTCACCTCCCCAACCAACATCTTCCAAGTGGGAGCTCATTTACGACCATGTTTTTAGCACATCTTTGAGCCTAAACCATACTTTTTTGAATAGACATACCAATTACCTCAACGGCAATTGCTTTTGGACCACTTGTTATCCATAATGATCTCTGGAGGTTTGCATAACTAGTTATAGAGTAGTCTTTACACAATTTCGTGTTGCTTCGTTGATAAGGAGGCTTTGAAGGTTTGGAGAGGGCAAAAATATTTCTAAATTTTGATTCGTTACAGCCACAGAAATAATTTTAAGCACGGCACTTTTAGACCTATTCACGCCCCAGTGTGTCGAGTCAAAAAAACACAGGCTGAGAAGGTGTTGGTGAGATTAAGTTGCAAAGTGAATTGAATCTAATCTTCAAGATGACGGAAAGAGTAGCCACACTTGAGCCCCTTCAACCAATTTGACAAATTGGTAAATTAAATATTAGAAAGAGTAAGTGATAAAGAATACCATCCCGAGACTTGATACCAAGAAACTGAGAGGCTCTATTAACGTCGTTTTTGATGTTGACACAGATGGAGACAATGTCTACCGCAACGGCGGCTTCTATGTGAATCGGTGGAAGCACTTCTTTCCGGAGGAGTGCAGTGGAGTGTGGCGCCACTCTGTCTGCATCTTCGATCTCTACGGTATGCAGCCCCTCTTTACACCAGACTCTCCCCATCTCTTTGTAAATAAATTCGTCATGCACATCAACGCTCCTGTGCTGGATGTGACGGAGCAGTGGTTCTACAACTGGCAGGAATGGTACTACCGCCACGCTGATCAGAATGTTACCAACCTCAACTACTTCCGTAATCTTCCCCAGGTACGGTACCAATTGTCGAAAGCTAATCAGCAAAAAGGGAAGGTTGGCTGATTTTCTAATCTCACCTTATCTCCCTCCACCATCGCCTTTCCCTCGAGCACCTCCGTCTCATGCTAATTTTGTATAGGGAAAAGTTATAATTTTAAATAAAGTTTACTCAGTAAAGCTGGCAATGACTCTAAGGACGGAGTGGGTGGTTTTTAGCTATTCAAATCTGCACGTCATGTCATGAATCCTACAACATCTTTGATGATGATGAATTAGGCTTTTCAAAAGTCAGGCGATTTCAAGTTCTAGTGGTAAAAGGAGAGGGAGATGGCTGAACCTTGTAGGCCAGCAGTAGAAGCGCTATTGAAGTCACATTGACTTGGCATACCTTCTGGAGTCTCCCATAATGATTGGTAAAAAGCGAAACCGGGATTGAACTATTCACAGTGGTCTCCAAAAGAACTCCGAGCAATGCTGTCATGAAGAGGATTATCTACTAGCGCCACCTACTCCACTGGTTTCCCAGCACTTCCGAAGCAAGACATGGTAGTGGTGTTACCAGATCCACTTTAACCGAAGGGCGATTAATACCACATCAGACTGCTACAATATCCCTACCTCAAGCTGCGCATAAAAGCTAGTAAGGAAGCAGGGTTGGAATTTTTCTTAAGATTGCCACAACCGGAGGACCCGTTGACGCTTCTCAGAGCAAGAGGAGGAAGGGCTGATAACACAACTTAAATTTACTTTAATTATCTGCTTGACCACGTGAGCCTCCTACATCTACCCCATTCGGCCCTCACAGCGGTGCTCTTATTATCAACGAAAGTAGGAGCAGGAAGATTTGTGAAATAGGTGATATGACCGAAGACTCAAGTGTTCACTACTAGAACCGCAGAGAAAACTCGTCCATCGTAGCACATGTTTTATTGCCTTAGCATAACGCCAACTGTTACTCTTCAGTTTAACTTATTCCTCTTAGCTAATTGTGTCACGCATTTCTGGCGTGCGAGGTCGGGCGAAAAAATTGGGGTGGTAGATTTACGACCCTAATGACGTGTAGAGAAGACCGCAGAGCCCGCGCTGTTAAATAGACTGCCAAAAGAAATTCGATCATTGTTTTTTTGTTTGTTAGCTAATTCCAAGATTGGCTATAACCCGAAAAACCACTCAACTGCTCCACTTTTTTCCTACAATCCTTTTTGTTTACGAATGAGAACGTTACATAGTAACGTAATCCGCCCTTGCTCGGTGGTAGAAATGAAAAGACAAATGTACCCATTCTCTTTTATGCCACAAGAAAGTTGATTGGTCGTAGAAAGGTAGGCAGGGCGATAGGATTTCAAAAAAGGCAACAAAGCTCACATTCCACTTTGGCATACAGGCATTTCACATATTCAAATCCCTGCGATTTGAAGTAATGGGAGTAGATGAAGCGCGGTAGGCATAAAGCGCGGGTTCTACTACAGACGCTTCAGCAGACGCACTCCACTGTCTGTAGTTGGCAATAAGCAACTTCAGCTGGGTAGTGGTTAAAAACTTCAACTTAGAATGTCTGAACTCACCACTCATGGTCGCAACGTATGTCAACACAACCCAACATATGCCAATCGTGTTCATTTGCAAGCCTTTGCGCCAACATTGGGAACTGAAAAAAAGGGAGAACGGTGACCAGAGCGTTGTCTTAAGTACGCCCCTGTCCCCTTGAATGTGTGATCCTGCCGATTCTGCGGTAGTACCAGACTGCAGCACTCACCGAACTCCGTTAGTCTCAATTTGAAAAGTAGAAGAACGGCCTTCTGCAATACTTTCAAAACGAGGTTTACCTTGAACATACTTTGCTTTTGCTCGGTGGTAGAAGCAACAATACGAATGTACCCACTCTCTTTTATGTGATGAGGAAGTTGATTGCTTGTAGGAGGGTGGGCAAGGCGATGGAATTTCAAAAATGCAGCAAAACTCACAACTCCAAGTTGGCATGCAGACCATTCACAAATTTGAATCACCGCAGCACAATCTGGTGTAAATGTAAATGGATGAAACTGCGTTGAAGAATTTTAAGAGCACGATGCGTCGATGATTCATTGGAGTTAATGACCTGATGCATTAGTCATGCTTATTTTTAAACACAGTAACTGTTATTACTACCTTCGCTAATATGACCGGAAGTGATCCCTTCGCAAAGTCAGTATACCTCATCAAAATTTGGTGCAACAGCGTGACAATGATTTGGTTACTGAAATAATATTAGTAGTATTTCCCCCCTGTTTTGCGCACCTAAATAAAGTTCTATTTTTTAATAATCCACTTTAACACTGATAATAGAGGAACTATTTCTTCGTTTTATAATAGAGATCTTGTAAATATGGTAACTATCAGCCTATGCGAACTTCCGGTTTGTGGACACATGTACGGGTATGCATCGAAAGGATCACTCGAAAAATTCAACTCTTCGCATGCAGTATGATCCCTTGACTACATTCTGCTAAATGTCCAACTCTAAAAAAGGTATTCTTAGTTTGTTTTTAAAAACGACTTTATCCTCGACGAATGTGAGTTCTTTGCATGAGGTGGAATTACTAGCTGGGGGCAGTGTCAGTTACAAGCATTGAAGTGTAAGCGGTGAGAGAGGAAATTAATCCAGCCCATGTTCGTGGAACTTAGGTTACCATCTCAAATTCCAAAAATCATATGATTGACACTGGTGAAGAGTTTGTTCGAAATGCTGCATATCGTGGTAAACTGCAGCACTTCAAGTCTTCTCCAAAGGCGTAGAATCCAAAGTACCACGGAAGGTGCTTTCTTGCTGACGTACGGAAAGGCTGGAAGGACAATTCCGTCAAGTGAAAACACTATCTGCGTAAATTAAATTATACACCAGCAATACATATCCTGTCCTACTCTTATTATTATGTCTTCGTCTTTAGGGAGGTCTCGGGATTCTACGGTACTGCAATTGGTTCAAACCTTGCCTTTACAAATAAATACTTTAAAACGAATTGTAACAAAAGCTTCTTTAAAGCTACCTCCGTATAGCATGATAAAACAAAAAGCAAGACGGAAAGTGTGGAAAAATTCAATGAGTTGATTGTAGTCGTTACATTTTACATTTTACCTCACTTAAAACTTAACTAGTTCAAAAATGACAGCTTTGAAGTTTTAAGACAAGTGAAAAAAGAGTTTTCTTATCTTATTGTAGCGCCCTGAGACTTCCCTGAAAATGAGTAAAAACATAATACTTAGGCGGATGTCTTACTGACGTAGAGATGGGCGAAGGGCTAATGGCATGGAGCGGAGACCATGAAATCCTAGTGAAATTACACTCACAGAGCGTTAAGTGTCTGCGTAACTAAAACCAAGCGTCAAATAAACAACCAACGAATTACGTAGCCCCTTTCTATCCTCTTTTGAGCGTTGTCGCACGCACTCCTGATCAACTTCCCGGGTCGCCATCACAGCGTAGTTGATGCTGTAAGGCAAAACATCCATGAACCAACCGCACCAGTCATCGAATTTGCCTGAAGATTAGAAGATACTTGACCACAACGTCCTATTTAGGGAGTGAATTGGGCGAAGAGAGGTGAGGGAGAATGTGCTAACCATCTCACATGTCCATCACTTAAAATCAATTTAATAAAGAACAGAGTTTATAGTAGTTTCAAGGAGATAATATTTTGTATCTGTTCCCCTTGCCGCTTCGTTCCCACCTAAGTGCTGCCCAGCTGTACCTATCTATCAGGGTTCTGTCCAGCTAGTGGGGAGGTGGAGAAGGTCTTACGTGTTCACTTCATTTAAATCTTTATATGGGTACGACAAACAGCTCCGTAACGAAGTCTTCCAAATGGTTCACGATTACGGTTACTGTCACCACAGTTGTGAGTAGCATTTCTGCAGAACAATGGACTGGGGTAGTTGCCGAAGGTAGGCATCATTCTTAACCCTTCCGTTGGAGGTTGATACAGACTGTCCATCCACAGCACATGGCCTTCTTCCGTCACGCCAAGGTTTAGCATTTAGTAATAGAAATCAGAGTCGATGTCCTTTGGAAATGGGTACACTTTCCGTTGCCACTGGCGTAGCGCGACGAGACTTCTCTGAGGACGGAAGAAGACAACACTAGGACGAATGATGCAGTGGCGACATACAGAAGGGTGTCCGGCGGAAGTGCAAAGGCGGAGCTTAAAGTGACCGTGAAACCAAAACCACAAATAAACAAAGCATTACAAGAAGGACACCAATAATGAGAACGGAATAGTCATAATCTGTTCAGTTTTTTAGGTTATAATTCTTTGTTTCCAAGCCATTTTAAGCCAACTTTCTTCATCTTAACTCGCCTTAAATAGCAAAAAGCGGTGTCGGTTCTCCAGGAGGGAAGGCCTCACATCGCCCTAGTCACTCATGTTTATCGCTTTGATTGAGGCTAGCGAAAAATTGCCTTTTTTTTAGGAAACATTTGCAATGCATCAACTGCTTGTTTAACCAACGGTTGGGGCTCTACCATTGTACCTCCGCCGAGCGGCCTGCCCTCCGAGCCATGGCAGTGGCCCCCTCGCCCCCAGCCCTTCTGTAGGGCGACAATACATATTCGTTCCGGGTATTATTTTTTTCCTTTGTATTCAGGGAAGTCCCAAGGCGCTACAATCTATGCTTAACTATTTCCGAACACAAACAAATCTCCTTTTCGTTGGTTAAAAGGCGCTTATTCCAATTCATTACAGTAGCCTTCTTCACATCCAATTCATGCTTTTGACTGCAAATTCTCCTTGTAGTGTCACGATGCTATCGTAAATGCCTGACTTATTTTATGTCCATGAAAGTAGTTTTCGAAGTTGTACCGATTCTCGAATAACGAATCTATTGTAATGTGTATATCAGAGATTATACGCTTTCAGTGGTGTTGAAAAGTCAGGAGCCATGTGTATTCTTCGCCTATTCAAAATGCCAGCATTTGACTAGGCTATGGAAAAAAATAAATAACTTGGAACCATTTGATTTAGAGGTCACAGAGAATGAAAAGGGAAAAAAAGTATCCCATATTCCCTTATTGCCGCAAAAATCATAAGTGGGCAAAGATTTCGCGTCCTTTTTTAGAGAATTTATTCCCTTCATGAGGTCGTATAAGAACTTAATTTTGTAGTGTCGGTTCGCATTCGCTGGACGTTTGCTGATGACTGTGACATGACTTGAACTAGTCATTAATTAACTTTTCTGCCCCAAATAAGCATTGGTACGCTCTGGAAGAAAACACCTCTTTCCACATTCGAGAAGGCGGATACATAACCCCAGATTCCGCTCCAAAAAACTCAACACTTTTAAGTACAATCAGTACGATCAGCACACTAGAAAGCACCCGTTCTGGTTGCGTCTTCATTCCATTGTTGGTGACGGTGGACTGTCTTAGAAAGTCCTTTTTTCCACTCTTTTATTTCTGGTAGTTAAGTCCGAAAACAGGACTATTAGTGGCTAGGTTCAAAAGAAAATAGGTGATTGCCTTTGTTTGTAAGTGGTGGTTTGGCTTTCTTTATAGAACTATTCTGTACCATCCCGAGGCTTCCTTGAAGACGGAAGAAGACATAACGCTCAGGCAGAATACTTATATATACTCAGCACAAAGAAGGTATTCGGGCTACCGGCATGGCCCGAAGGCCAGCCCAACCAGCTTACTACAAAGGCCAAGTCAGAAGTGGCTCTTTGCCGATGCAAAGAGATAAACAACCATTGTACTACAATTCCTCCCATAATACAGTCAAAATTTCACATTATTTACCCAGCCGATAAATTTTCTGTAAATTTATGAGTGAGAATCGAGATACGCAAGTAAATGCGGTTATTAACATGGCATTATTCAAGAACGAAACTAGCAAAACGTTAAGACCATTTTCTGTCTAGAAATTATGCCTGAAATTAAAATTTAGCTTATTATTTCTCTCTTCTCCTATAAGTCAAGAGCACTATTTTCCATCCCTATCATGAGATTACGCAGACTGTTTTCAACATCCTACTTTAATTTTAAAAATAGTGGTAAAGGACAAATTCTTCCAAATCACATTATTTAGAAAAACACTACTACTTGCAAAATTCATTAAATATCGCTTGTTTTTAAGCGTGCCTTTTTATTAGTAAGTAACCCTAGCAGTTTTTAAAGAATTAATTCCTAAAACATTTACATTTGGCTTAATTTACTCTACTAGCAACGGTTTAATATAGCTTAAAATTATATGATTACCTTTATTTTTGACGCGCCTACTTCGAGTACTGAGCCTCTGCCACTCACTGAGCGGGTGGGTTTTTTATTTCCTCTTGTGCTAATTCACCAGATCGGAGTGGCACTTGGTTTCCGCTCGCTATGCTAAGATGACATTTTCTGTGTAAATGACACCTAACTTCAACTTGTGTGGATTTTGACCACTAAATTTGTTTAGATATTCCTTAGTTAGCGGCACAACTTTCGTGACAATATCCACCATACAGGATTTAATTCTACAATGCTTTAGTCAGTCATATATTTGACAGTGGGAATAATGATGCATGCCGTTGGGAATACAGTTATGCATTGTATAACCTGGCTTCGATATTGCTAAATCGCAGGTTGCAGGCTTCGCCGTTTCATTGCATTTATGGCAGCATGATGATGTAAAATCCACCATGATCGTGCATGGAGCGTCGTGTCTCCTCCTTCTTACCCTCATCACTTCCCCTTTTCTTGCTGAACAAGCTTACTTCCCTCAAATCGGCCAGTACTGGGAATTAAACTATTCCGCCCTTCAGCCTCCATCCCCTCGTTCCAAACGCTCGACGGATCGACCATCCTCTTCATTTTTCTTTCATGCATTCGGTCATAACTTCTCCTTGGTCATCTACCATGATGAAGGTGTGTTGTCTCCCACAGCACTAGTAGTTGCTGGAGGGCAAACCCGTCTCCTGAGCAGTGATGACAACTCCGCATATCCCGTGCGTGGTTTCCTCAACTCCCATCCCAAGAGTCTCGTTTATGGCAGTGTTCTCAATGGCATCTTTCGTGGTACTATTGCACTCAACGCCAGCAGTCTAGGAATCTTTGTGGAAAATCCCTTGACCGTGGAGGATGTCTATTTTGTCGAGCCGGCGGGAAATTTCCTACCCAACCCTGACTTCCACTCTGTAATCTATCGTGCGAATGCAACGAGTGGTGGCGATGTATTATTTCGACAAAAACGCAGTCTCAATATTGCTGGTGGTGATGATGCTTCGGAACCTGCATTTTGTGGCTACTCAAACCGGGAGATTGCACGACAGCTTAGAGAAATGTCTCAGCCTGCTCTAGGTGGGTTCGCCCGAATTCCTATAAATATTTATCGGTTGCCAACCTCGATGTTTCGTACTCAGTTAGTGACTTGGTTAGTGGTTGAATAATTACTATAATTCTAAATGCACCATGAAAAGCCATTATTGTTGGTTTGTCTGCATTAGTAATCAATGTGATGTTGTAGTTACTCTACGGGGCACTTTAATGATCCGCTATCTTGTTCGAACTATAAGAATCGCCTAATTCGTTTAGCTGTCGAATTATTGTATCCAGCTCCTAAAAAGAATCAACTTATTTCTTTCTATCATATAACTTTACTAGTGGTGCATTATTTTAAATTGATTGAAACTTCTCTAAATTCGCTTCACTGCATTTGTTCTATTAGTAGTAGGCAGAATTTTACCTCCGAATTACTTTGGAGGCCCATTTCTCTGTTAGATTTGCATTTTCTGGTCTACCGCATTGTTTTTTCCCCAGAAAGCAGATTTCGTTGTCTATTCACTTTAATTAATCCAAAATGCTTTGGAGGTTTCGAGAACGAATACCACAGCCTCAGACACATTTGATTTACAGGTATAAGCAAAATCATTATCATCATTTTGTACACTCCTAAATCACCCAAACCAAAAGTGTCCAGTGCAGCTCTGTCGGTGTGCTCTGCCGAAATTCGTGTTCCTCTAGACAAATATGTCCGAGTACCTGGGTTTTTTTGGTAGTGAGATTTTTCCTGTTCAACTGATGTTGAATGTGTAATAGGCAGAAGAAATAGCTTTAGATACGTTTAACTCGCAGGTAGGGCGAAACCTTTATCCGCTTGTTATTCACGCTGAGGACGCTTTCAAGCATGCATACCTTTAAATGCATCTGTATAGTTATTCGGAGGTTTTTATGAACGAACTGAATTATTTCAGTATTTGGTTGAGGACTTGTTTTCTGCCCTTTTGCAACCAACGGTTGGCTCGAGGATTAGTAATTAAGTAATTGTCAGCTTTTGACCTAGCCTTTTTTCTGCTGCAATAACCTGGTTGTTGAGTAGAACGCTCGTTTCATGAAGTATATTTTCAGCTTGTGGTTTGTCAGTTTATTCATCCAATTATTCATCAACTCACATCCGTCATTGTCACCTTACCTCAGATGCATGAACTTGATTTCTTGCAATAAACGTTTTAATTCCACGACCTAAAAATTAAACCATTTATTCATTTCACAGGAGGGCAACTGTCAAAATACTCTGCCTTATGGTGAGAGAATGTTCTGTTAGCTCGATTCTCGTTTACCGCGTTATTCTTTTTTAGAAAAGTTTGTTTCTTTTAAAATTCATTTAAATTGACTCATGTCTATTGATGCTTATGAACCAATAAAGTGGTTTTGGACATATTTGACTGACAGGCACGCTAAAAATAATTTTGGCGAAATTTGCACCTGAATCTTATCTTCATTTTCCAGTCTACTAAGTATAAGCGAATTTAATAGCGTACGAGTGCGCTGCTTTCATTTGTGAGGAGTTTGGAAATTTCCCTCTCGCATTCCTCCAAAGGAGAATTCTTGGGCTTACTTCTGCCCTTTAGGATCACTTTTTCATAAATCATCGCTTAGCGAAAAAAATCCCAGTACGCATCCTTCTGTCTCTGTCACGGCCTGGAGATTTTGTAAATGAATAGAATAATTTATGGAGTTAGTCTTTTTGCCTCATCATATGGAAGAATTGTTCGGGTTGACATCTATTTAATTGTCTGGAGGTCTTGGCAACTAATTACATGGTCCCTGAGCCTATTTGAGATGTTCTTGTTTGTGTATTAAACTATTGAAAGTCTCTTTCTTGCCGTGAAAAGTGTTTATGGGTTTAATCTCCATTTTTAACCTGTATGAAGTGTTAATTTACTTAGGAGGGGAATTCAAGTGCCTCTATGTAATTTTCTGAGGGTACACGAATGAATTTCATTATCCATATTTCTGGTGAGACCGCTTTGGGCATTGATGAAGACCATTAGATTGTCCTTCTAATTTTAAAATTTTATGAACACGCCTGCTACCGGAGGCGGAGGGAAATCGAGAGCCATAGCCCTAAAGTTTCACTGTTCTGCTTAACGTTATGCTGCCCAAAGCAGCGTTCGCATGTTTTGTTTTAGGTCCAACCAACACGTTTGCGGCGCCATTTAATGTCACATATTTGCAATGCTGAGTTTGCATAAATAATCATGTTATCACATATGCTAATCTGGTAAAGAGTGCATTAAACTTAATTCCCATTCGGACAACCATATCTACTATATTTGAAGGCTGTACGAGTGAGTTAAATGCTTTGCAGATCCGGTGAAACGCCTCACCCGTTCGGTGGATGGAATTCGGGGACAACGGCGCTATCAGACGGCTACCCCAGTGCACTCATACTTCCCACCCCACAGCGGCAGTCGACTGGCTAGCCGACCCATCTCCACAGCAGCGCCTGAGTCCCCCCTAGAGGCGGACGGAGCTAAGGGTACGTCGGCATCGTCAGCAATGCGGCCATTGACACGGTCCCACGACGCCGGTCCGACTTCGCGGGTGTGTAATCTATACCTCCAGTCGGACACCTTCCTGTGGGACCATGTCATTAAACTGCCACACATACGATTCAACCGGGATCTAGCCATCAAGGAGATTACTTCAATTTTCACTCAGCATGTTCAGGGTGCGCAAGCCATCTACCAGTACACCAACTTCAAGGATTCCTCCGTCAGTGAAGTTGTTATATCTCTTTTTTTCGAACTTATTTAAAGAGGTTTGGATTTGCTCATTCTAGCTGTTCTTATTATCATCATAGATGCATCCTCGAAGATCTTTTTACTACCTCAGGCCTTTTCTGTAAATCGGATTTGATTAATTTTTTTTCAATTTGGTTTGAAAAAGTCTATTGGTTAATTTCGCCTATCCGTTTTTATTAAGTTGAGCCGTGTTTTTTTCCGCAGTCTTTTATAGTTTCTGGTCGAAACTAAACTTGTATTTTAAAAAGTGTTTAGATTAGGACTGATGTATACTTGAGGATGCCTGGTATCTGTATCCTCTACCAGGTTCGGAGATGTGTTTAGTCCCTCCTTCATTAGTCACTGTCTGGGGGTCTAATTTACCGCAGTATTAACCTCTACCTATTTGAATGGTTTATTGATAATATATTGATAGCTAGATGGGGGGCTTTGTCATTTTGTGGCTACCGTGCTATTTCTAAAGACATTCTAGGGTCTTATTATTAACATGAAGAGGAATCGAAGGTCTCATTGCGTAGGTAGCATTAGCAGAACTCGATACTGATAGTATAGTAAAATAATCACGAGGGACCGAAAAATTCCACGAATCCAGGCACACGCTTTGAACGAATATAATTCATTACAATATCTATTGCTATAGGTATTATGTAGCTGGTTATAGGTTGAGTGGGGACTTTTTGTTTCATATGAAATGTTTTCTGTGTTCGGCTTCATGCTGTTTGGTTTGGTTTGTTTTACATCTGTCATTCTCTTCTAGATTTCGAATCACTGATGAATTGGACCGTCAGCACGTCTATCCTCGAAGTGATTTTTATTGCCATGTTGAAACGGACCGTTAATAGTACAAAGCTCTTGACGTATTTAACAACTCGTTTGGGATGTCAAGGCCTCTTTGAGAGGTTTTCAGATCACTATTGACCAATATTCGGTCATTTCTGGTTATTTGTGTTCTTTTCATGCCCTTGTTTCAATGCTATCTTCAGCTTACTTTTGTCCATCCAGCTTCATACCACATTTTCGGGGTAAGGCCGCTTTTGCAACTTTCGGTCTCTCAAAGCCTAATAACGCTCTGAGATCTATGGACATTCGTAGATTCTCAGTATTTCATGTTCAGTCGTTTCTAACAATCCACGATTCATTCCTTGCTCACGATGTAAGGATACGCCTGGCTTTCTCTTCTTGGTTAAATATGCTTTCATGGCTCAGAAGTTTGTTAGTAAAAACCTTTTGCCGTGTTTTGGTCTAAAGCAGCGCACTAGTGACCAAATAGGAAGCCTATTATTTCTGTAACGCCCAAGTTACCTTTTGAGTCTGCAAAGTACTGTGAATCAAGGGGTAGGTTATTTATTATTAGGGAAAATGGAAGATGATTGGCATAGGGGATATGAGCAGGCTTTCATCCCACCAGTGTTGTGGCCAAGTTGTGCAGGAAGGCTCGCGTATTTGAGTCTGAAACTATGATAAATGGTATTCCGTCAAGGCCTCTATCACTGCTAACATCACCAAACTGATTTACCGTAAATCTAGAGGGGGTAAATGTATTTTGGAGCTTTTTGTTCAGGTTTTAAGACTGCTGTTGAAATCTGTCCAAATTCTGTTTTCAGACAAAGGACTTCGATTACCCGAAACTAAGCGGTATAGTTGTAGCACAATCTATGTCTGAAAACCTCATTTTTCAAGTTGTCATATCAATCAACCTTTTCAGTTATCTTTTTCCCTACCTTTTGGGAAGCAAGAATCCCATTCATTTATGAAACTGTTATTTATGTGTGCTTTTGAAAATTTACCCAAAATATTAGACAATTGAACTGTAGCGGCTGGAGTCTTTCCTTAATTAGAAAGAAGGTATAATACTGGGGCAAAATATGTATTGCTGACCTAAAGAAGAGTTAAGGCGCTACTGACATGGTCCGGAGGCCATATAGCTCAGCGAAAGTATAGTGACAGAGCCTTAAGTGTCCGTGCAACCAAAACGAGGAGTTAAACAATTGAGGAATCACATAGCTGCCCTCTTTTTCAGCGTCACCCCTAGCGCTTCCTTTGATCGCAAGGTAGTCGGTGCTGTGAGAAATGCACCTACCAACCAACCACGTTGGTCATCGAATACGTGTGCAGTGAAGATGTCTCATTGCAACGTCACTGCTCCCTCTTGGCAATTCTACTGAATTTGAAGTTTTGTCCTGTTCTGGAACTGTATTGGGGGAAGAGGGAATGTGCTGCCCACCACGTATGTTCATCGCTATTCGTAGGAACACTGGCCTAGACGCAGTCATTTAGCGAAGGACGGCGTATAAAGTAGCTTCATTGGGATAAGGTTTCACGTCGATTCCGCCTTGCTACGTTGTTCCTACTTCACTGCTGCCCAGCCATACCTATCTTGGTTCTATCCAACTAGTGAGGAGGTAAGAGAGGTCTCGTGTGTTTACTTCATTGACATTTTCATACAGGTACTGGAGACACTTTCGTAACGAACTTTACCAGCTGCTTCACGACCATGGCTAGTACCGCTTCAGGTGTTAACGGCTTTCCTGCTGAACATGGGGTCGGGGTAGTTTCCGAAGGTAAACGTCATTTTCAACCCTTCCGTTAGGCGTCGTAATAGCTTGTTCCATCCGTAGCAGACGTCCCCCTTCATCATTTTAAGGTTTGGGGTTTAGGAATTAAAATCAGGGTAGTCGTCCATTAGGGTCGGGTTCGCTTTCTGTTGCCACCATTGTGGTGTCTCCGAGACTCCCCTAAAGAGAAAAGAAGACTACTTGGGGGGGAAGAATATATATTGCCGACGTACAGAAGGGATGGTGGGCTGCTGGTGGAAGCACAAAGTTGGGGCTTTGGGTGTCCACGACACCAAAGTGAAAAGCTAAACAAATAATCAAATTATTGTAGTGTCTACCTTGGGTCATTTGGTCCACCATGATCGCTTTGCTAGCTGTAATTTCAACCAGGTGCTTTATCTTAATTAACCTTTAGGAAATTCGTGTTTTGTATCTGCTTTGAGCGACTTCTGCCCATTGCAAGCAAGTAGAGTAATGTGGCAAAATGGGTCTCTTTTTGCATTTGTGTCATTTCGTATGCTTTTGCGTTTGCAGCATTATCAGTAAGCTAAATCCGGTACTTTTTTCCTCCCTCCATTGCGTTATTACCTTTTTATATTTGGCCGTTAGCCTCGACTGGCCAATAACTGCCATTGACGATGTATCTGGTGGAATTGTAAATGGGACTTCTTCTCTGATTTGTTATAAAGTTTGCATTTGTCCTAGCCAATCGAGGAAGGAATCGCTCTTTTTGCTAGTATGCTAATGGCTTGTTTTCTCTCCTGAAATAATAACCTTTCTTCTGTTGTCCCACTGAGTACAAGTTTACTTAATAACGAAGTGTCCACTTTGCATCAAGCGTTT